AAAAAAAATACTCATGATAAAATTTTACTTATAATGCTCACCTTCTACATTTGCATAAAAAGTTCATAATATATATAATTTAAATTTCTAAACAAAAAGATCCCAATTTAGCTTAACACTAAACTTGGCGGCGAAGCCGCCCACATCTGCTACACTAGTTTTATAAATATTTAGGTAAGATTCAACTTTTTTTCCTTTTTACCTCTATATATAATAAGTGATATAAATATTTATTTTCCATTATGATATTTTAGACGTTTCGTCTTAATATAAATAACACTTATGCAAGTGCTGGAATAGACAGAATCTCGCAAATTTTAAAAGGGTGGAATTTTATAGATCCTTCAAAACGTTGAGTTCGGAGGTGTTGTCGAAATTGTTTCTTCTAATAATATTAAATCAGACATCGAGAGTCAACACCTCCTACCAGTAAATGACTCAAATTTTCAGTTCTCTTTTGCTAACGAACATATTTCAGATCAATGTAAACATTCATCATATGCATATTGGTCATGGAAAGATTTAAGTAGTCAATTATCATCACCATTTTGTCCTACAAATTTAATTTCATCGTCACAAAACTGGACCTATGGTTTTATTAGCAATCCAACCAAATTCTTCTTCAAAATACTACTATGTTACTTTCTATGAAGATTATCAATCGTTAAATGCTAAACTCGACTATATAAAAAGTAATAATTTAGCAGGAGTTGCGATTGCAGACATCACCAAAGATTCGAAAGATTTACAATTGACAAACTTTATTTTGGGAATTCCACCAGATAACCCTTCACAATCTTCGCCCAATACAGACATAATAGTGGGTAGTAAAATAGGCTCCATTGTTTTTGTTAGCGCATTAGTAGCAGTTGGCATCATATTGTATCGAAGAAGACACGGAGCAAACTTGTCTAATTTACTTAAAGATACAAATAATCAGGCTTGCTCCGATATAAATCCTCAGCTTTATTCTGATATAAATCGTCAGGTTCGTCCAGATACAAATAATCGAATTTACTAACCATAAAGTCTCCTAATTCTTAAAATGGTGAGAATGTGCATACTTTAAGATTTATATTATTAAATAATGACTAACATGAGATTGACTACGCATGAGACAAACTTCCTCTATAATTAGCAACTTAATAATAACTCAGATATAATGAACCATAAATTTAATTTTCTTTCTAATCTTATTGTATAATAGATAACTCTGACTCAAAATTCTTTTAAAAGTAATATATAAAACGACGTAGTTGCAAGAGGAGAACATTGAGATTTGTTAAATTTTGCTTTCATCATTTTTATAGAAATCATAAAAAGTGAGTACCAAGTACGTACGTACGTATGTACTGTACATATGTGTGTGCTGATTCCCTAATGCACACTGAAAATTATTTCTCTAGATACAGTCAGATCTCTCTAAATGCATTGTGACGGGACCATATGTAAAAATTTAGCCAAACGTGTATTTAGAGAAGTATTGCATTTAGGGAGGTAAAAATCTAAAAGTATTATATTAGTCGGACCCAAGCGAAGGCGTGCATTTAGGGGGCTTTTCATAGGACGTGCATTTAGGGGGTTGCATTTAGATAGGTCTGACTGTATATTCAAACCAAAG